CACGCACACTCGCACACCGCCCACCATGGACACCGCAGGCAAGGTCTTCACCCGCCAGGAGCTGGAGCTCATCGCGCGCCTCGCACAGCAGCACGGCGCCTATGTGCTGTCTGACGAGGTCTACGAGCACCTCACCTTCCCCGGCGGCCTCCCGCACGTCTCCATTCGCGGCCTGCCCGGCATGCGCGACCGCACGATCCGCTTGGGCTCGGCTGGCAAGACGTTCAGCCTCACGGCCTGGAAGGTCGGCTGGATGGAGGGCCCGGAGCGGCTGCTGGGGCCCTGCGTGAAGGCGCACCAGTTCCTGGTGTTCACGGTGCCGAGCTCGCTGCAGCGCGCGGTCGCGGGCGCGCTCGACGGCGCCGACGGGCAGGCGTTCTATCACGGGCTCGGCGCCGAGTGCGCGCGGCAGCGCGCGCTGCTCGCGCCGCGGCTGGCGGCCATCGGGTTCGACATCCTGCCCGCAGAGGGCACATACTTCTTGGTTGCTGACGTGGCGAAGTTCCTGCGGGACGGGGAGGACGACGTCGGCTTCGCCAAGCGGCTAACGGCGGAGGCGGGCGTGACGGTGATCCCCGTGTCGGCGTTCTACGCCGACGCGTCGCGCGCGCCGCGGTCGCTGGTGCGGTTCTGCTTCTGCAAGCAGGACTCGAAGCTGCAGGAGGGGTGCCGGCGGCTGGAGGAGTACTTTGGTGGCGCGGGCAACGGGGCGGCAGCGGCGGCAGGCGCGGAGGCCGCGGCGGGTTTGGCACCGTGAGGACGGTTTCGCTGTTGCGGGCGGGCGGAAACTGTCATCTCATTTGCTGTTGCTTAGAGCTGGTCTTCGAGTTTTCTGCGCTTCTGAGTTCCAAATTATTACCACGACACACGCCTTGTGTACCGCGTCGCTGTTTGTTTGTGAATGTTGACCAGGTGTCCCTAGGGTGTACATTGCATTCAGTCAGTTTGTTGACGAGCGCACAGCTGATGTTCTGGCCCGGCTTTGTGACTGTGTTCCTGCTGCAAGCTGGCCGCTACCCATGAATACTTGAAGGCATCATTGGATTGCATTATGCAATTTACAAGGTAAGACGTGGCCAGGGGTTCCCTAGGGTGGTCAAACAGGCACAAGGTAGTGCACCGCAGGGCCTGAGTCAGTAGAACCAAGTTGCGCTAAGTGGCAACGCGCCACCACTGGCATACAGCACACACATCACGACAGGGATGAACACACGGCGATCCACTCCTCGTGGACACAGCCTCCCGTGCCCTGCCGCATCTGTTGCAGCTGCACCGGGCAGACCGACTGCACATTACCCGCCCGGCACCGTTTGGTTGGGGCGCTGCACCATCAAGCCAGTGCACCAAACGTCGTGATGACCCAGTGCGATGCCTAATGAAAACATCCAGTCGCCATGATGCTGAGAGCTGCGTCGAGGACGCTCATCCAGCGCTCAAGAGCTCGCAGCAGAGGACGGCCTGCGGCTGCGCGACCTGTACAGGTATGTATGTGTGACATCCTCGTTGCAATGCGACATGTTCTGCGACCCGCGCGTGTCGGTGTGCGCGGTCTTCGAATCCCGCCAACGCTGTGCGGGCTGCAGGCGCAAAAACCGGAAATTCTGAGTCAAGAAATGAGGTCAACGAAGCCTCGACGCGACCTGGAGGTTGTAACGGTGCAGTACCAGCTTGACAGCACTGCGGAGGACCGCACCAAAGAGCAGGATCCCCTCGAAACGTGAGAAATTTGGATTCAGAAGGCGCTTGAGGGCCGCACTGGGGCCGTTGGACGCTGTGCTGCGACGTTCGGACGAGCGTCACCCGGCCGGCTCTCACATGATCATGCGCCTTGCCTGTGCACCCGCAGCGCTGTCGCTAGGCTTGTTGGTGCTGAGGCAGCACCAGCAGCCGTGACCCTTGGCTTCATCGCGTTATGGTGGGTCGAGCCACATCGCGGCGACCAAGGGCACATGGCGCTGCGGGCGGGCGCAGGCACATGGCGCAGATCACAATAGCAATTCCAGCAACCACGCCAGCTGGAGTTGACACTGAACCAGATCGCAACTGCATCAGCCTGCGCCGAGCCGCAGACCTGCCTCCGCCCTCTCGCCCTAGTGAAGCGCACGTGCAACAGTTTGTTGAAGCCCCGGTAAAATCCCTCATAACAACCCTTACCAACCAGGTATGGCCTCAATGTGTACTTCAACCTGCTGAACAAGTCCATTTTGCAGCACTTCCCCTTCCCCTACACTGTATCTGTCGTGCACGTAGCCGTCGGCACTGCCTACTGCACCCTCACCTACCTCCTGGGGCTGAAGAGCTGGTCCTTCGGCCGGGTGTGTAGGCAGGCAGGATGTTGGCCGCGGGGCCGAGGGGAGGGGATGAGGACGAGGGTCGTCCAAATGCTACGTGTGTGCGTGCATGTGCGCAAGTGTGCTTGTTTTAGGAGGGTGCTTGGCAGAGAAGACGGCAGTGCGCCATTGTAGGGAAGGGAGGCACGAAGAGGGCGTGTCAGGGTCACATACACTTGCCTGTGCGCCAACAAATTCTGACATATCTGCCCGCATCATTCAGCTTCCATCTCCAACAATCTACATGAGTCAACCCGCCTTCACACCACCCGTCCATCGCCTTCAATTTCTGGCGTGCACAACTGTCCCTGCGTCGCTTGCACTCTGATCCCGGCCCCATACCTGGCCATGCACCCCAACCCTTATGCCTCCAAACTTCACCCAAACCTCAAAGGCCATCTCCCCAGAAGAGCTGCGCAAGGTCCTCGGCCCGGCTTCCATGCACGCCGTCGGCCACATCGCGGCCAACATCTCGTATGCTGCCGTCGCCATCAGCCTCACCCACACTGTCAAGACCATGGAGCCGGCCTTCAACGTCCTCTTGTCGCGCTTGGTGCTCGGAGAAGCCACCCCGGCACCCGTCGTGGCCAGTCTGCTGCCGATCATGCTCGGGGTGGCGCTGGCCAGCTCGGCGGAGCTGTCATTCAACTGGACAGGCTTTCTCAGCGCCATGGTGTCGAACCTCACCTTCGGGTTCCGAGCCGTCTGGGGCAAGGCGTGAGTCTACCTACGGCTGAATTTCCCCCCGAAGTCACACGTTCTTGCTCTGGCTGCTGCTTGGCAGCTGATCAGGGCACAGGCGGCTAGCTGCCGCCCACACAATTGAGCGTCGCGGGGAGCCGGATGTGTGCTTGTGCGGAGGGGCCATGCGAATTCCTTGGCATCGAGGCGTGCCTTTAGGCCACCAGCCCTCCTCCTCCTGACCTTCTCTCCCCCCCCACCCTTCAGGGCCATGACCAAGACCCTTGACAGCACGGCTGTGTACTCCTACACCACCCTCATCAGTCTCATCATCTGCCTGCCCGTCGCCTTGGCAATGGAGGGCGAGAGCTTGACTGCAGGCGCCCAGGTGGGCACTGCGCTGGTGCTTCATGGGTGCGGCGAGCGGGGGAGGCTCATCAACCCCGACGATCGTGCCATGCGCCATCCCCCCAAAACGCTGCCCTTTACGCCTAGCTCACGCAACCCCGTTGTTGGGGTCGCCCGACGCCGGCCGCGACAACCCCACAGGCCGCCGTGTCCGTGCGTGGGGAGGCGCAGTTTTACACAGACCTGGTGGTTGTGGGCATTTGCTACCACTTGTACAACCTTTTGTCGTTCAACACGCTCCAGAGAGTGTCACCCGTCAGCCACGGAGTGACCAACGTGGTCAAACGCGTGGTCATCATTTTTTCCAGGTGTGCTGTGTGAAACGATTGGACCCGCTTATGTGACGGCGCTGTGTGCGTGCTGGCCCTCGCTCTTGCGCCTCAGCAGGCCACTTTGACCCGCACATAATGCCACTCGGTCCCAACCCTTGCGCCTGCCCACCCTGCCCCTCCCCCCGACAGTGTCATCGTCTTTGACCAGGTTCGTCCCGGTGTGCGAAACGTGCTTATCTGCTGCTGCTGCTGCTGCTGCTGCTGCTGCTGCTGCTGCTGCTGCTGCTGCTGCTGCTGCTGCTGCTGCTGCTGCTGCTGCTGCTGCTGCTGCTGCTGCTGCTGCTGCTGGCTGTGTTGATGAGCTGCTGGCTGTCTTGATGGGCGAATGGCTGCAAGCAACACGGCTTGCTTGCGCACTCAGGTTGTGCAGGGTGCGCTGTCCTTGCGGCAGCCACATGCTGGCTGCCCAGATGCAACTCGACAACCCTATATATTGCCATGTGTTCCGCCCAAACACACCGCACTCATGACACCCATGCCTGATCGCGTGCATGCAGGAGCTGACAGCCCCTGCGCTGGTGGGCACTGTCATCGCGTTGGGGGGCACTTGGATGTACACAGAGGCAGCTGCGCGCCACACGTCCAGGAAGCTGCCCAAGCAGGCTCCCGCTGCCGCCAAGAAGGGGAAGGTCAGGGCGGCATGACGGCGTCACTGGTGATGGCTCGTGCCAGTGCCTCCGACCGACCAGCCGCACGGCGGGAGAGCTGCCCTGGTAGGCCTCCCCGATCAATTTTCCAGCCGGCACGGCTAGTGCATATTCCTATCACCAGCCACCCCTCCTCGGAGCGCTCCGTGCGCCCATTGATGGTGCAGGCACCCGGCTGGGCACGGGTGACCGCCAGGTGTCACTTGTTGCGGTGTTGGGGCGACCGCCGCCGCGTGGTGATTTCATCTGCAACCGAGAGGGGATACCTCTTCCACCAACACTTTCCTGTTCCGCAACGCTCATGCGGCGCCTTGAGCACGTGGGCGCTCCGGCCAGCGCACGCGTACTGGCGCGCTTTGATAAGGGCTGGCATTGCTGTGGTTGAGTCCCGAGGCGCCCTGCATCACTAAAACCATCTGAGACATCCTCATTTGATTCCTCCTTCCATAAGCTTCTGACCTTCCAAGAACCACCTCACGGCCTGCTGCGCCCTTGCAACCGTGCGTGTGTTGCTCAACGCAGCCAATCCACCCTATGCCACAAAGTGACGACCGCGCGTAATGTACAGCCAGCGTTCCCGGAACCTAGGGCAGGTGCACCGCCGCCACTCCCAACATGTAATTGATGGTCCCACACCTCGTACAGGCGAGCACAAAGCTCGCCCGTTTGGCACAAGTCGGCGCCACCCCACGGAGAGACCAGTCCGCGTGGCCGCCATCCCCCGGAAGCAGCAAGCCCACCCGAGCACTGCACAGACATCCAACATCACTTTTTCATTTTCTGACGTCAATTTGGCACGGCACCATGCGTGACACTCCGCTGCCGTCGTTGTTCGGTGTTGTGTGATGGTACGGTATGACTGATCGTTCGCGCGGGCCCGACAACCCCTTTTGATGGTTCAGTGATGCGAGAACCGCGGGTGTGTGCACTATCGACTGCCTTACCCTGCTGGTGTAGATGCCACTCTGAGCAGGGCGCGAGCTGGCAGTGCGTAGATCGCGGGGCTTGCCCCAGTGTCCCTGTCGATTGTATCTCTGTACATCATATTTTTGCCAGCTTTGCCCGCTGGGGCCGCTGAGCGGCCATGGAGCTCCCAGCGCTCCTGTTCTTCGGCCTGCTGCTGCTAAATGTGACCCGGTGGCTCATCAAGCGCAGTCAGGTGTGCGAGACATTGCTATGAGCCAAAATGATGCGTGCCTTGGCCGGGTATCAGGCCGCTGCGACGGCGCGCACGTGCGCTGCAGCCTGGTGGCGACGTCGCGTCCTCCAGCTGCCACCCCGGCCCGCGCGTGCGCTCGCGCCTCCCGACGGCCCCACCCGAACGTCGGCCTTGCCCTCCCCTGCAGACCGGCTTTTTGCAGCAGCACAAATCGCGGCTCGCACGCGAAATCGCGTCGTTGCGGCGGCAGGCCGAGGCGCTAAATACGCCTAGCACGTACGCCAAGTGCGCCAAACTGCAGCGGCTGGCCAATGCCAAGGAGCAGGAGCTGTCCGCGCTGCAGCAGCACGGCGACGACGACGTGCGCGCGCGCATCGCCGGCGCGATGGCGACCGTGAAGGTGGGACTGGAGGGTTTGCAGGCTTCTTGCCAGCTGGCAACCACGCGTCGGTTGGGGTCTCAGGTGGCAGGGTTGATGGCCTCGCGTGCAGTCGTCTGCTGGGTTGTGCGTCGCCGAGCATCAATGTGCGGCACGCCCCTCCGCAACCTGGCCCTGACAAGTTGGCAAGTTCCTGCCTGGGTCCTGTCAGGCCAACCCCTGCACAGCCACCAACAAGCCTGCCCAACCCTGTCCTATGCTCGTCCCGCCGGCTTTCTCACCCGCGCGCGTGCCGACCTCCGCGCAGGTCATCCTCATGGCCCTGGCAGTCGTCATGCTCTGGGGACGCCCCCTGCTGTACATCCCGCCCCGCCTGTCGTCGCCCTTCTCCAAGCTGCTGCTTTTCCCCCACACCAGCTCGTACGTAGAGATGGGCTCTGTCACCGTGGTGCCATGGGTCGCGCTCTGCGACCGCGTCAGCCTGCTCATCGCGCGCTCGCTTTTTCCCCTGCGCGCGCTCGAGCCGCGCACCAAGCCGCTGCAGACGGTGCACGAGGACAAGGAGCACTGACGGGCGCGCGCATCCGCGCGAGGTGGGCGCTCGCGGCCCGCGGCCGCGCCGGGCGTGCGCTGCGCCCCAGCGCCGGCAGCTCGAGCACGGCGGTGCTGCAGCGTCGCCTCGCCGTGGAACGGCATGCCGCACCGCCGCGGCGCGTGCGATGCCAGCGATGTAGCCACATGCGAGGAGGGCGGGTCGTGAGCGGCAGCTTACTGTGTGCCACACTTTTCTGCGGGACCGGTGTTGTGACCCGCTGATTTTCGACAATGCGTTTGATTTTTCACACCTGTGTTTCTCCCTCACGCACTTGTTCTGGTGCGTGTTTCTACGTCCCCCCTCCCCCCGACTGCGCGGTCGGGTCGGTGTGCGTGAGCCCAGGTGCTCCCGTGGGACACGCGTGGTTGCTGATGCGTGGTGTTTGTGTGTGGCTACGGTCTTGTTGTTGGTCTTCGTACCAGCTCAGCTGTTTGATGGAAGCCCGTGCGCCGATAGCTCTAGCCAGCAGTCAATAGGCATTAGTTGCGCACAGTTCTGCCCGTGGCCTCCATTCGTGCTGTTTGTGTCATGTCGTGTGGTGGTTCATGTTTTTGCTTGTGAATACTGGTAGGTCGCATGCATACCCTTGGCTTGACATCACAGACTGCGACAGCAAGCCACGGCACCTGAGCACCTATTTCAAGCCTTGCCGCTGTGATCACGAGATAGCCTGTCGCTGCTCGCGGTGGTTGCAGCGCCGCTTGGCTGGGCACTGACCTCCAAGCCTGGCGAGTCTAGTTTGTTAATGTTGGCCATCGCATGGCACGCCACCAGGCGCCGGTAAACTGAGTAACGCGGACATGTAGCTAAGCTTGCCATTGGACTTCATACATGCGCAGAACGTGAGTTTCTGATCCGTGAAATGCACGAAGGAGGCGCTGGGGGAGGGGGGTGTCATGAGCAAGAGCACACGCGATGCAGGGGTGCATATGGGCGGAACAAGGGCGTATTTGAGAAGGGTTGGGCGGAGATGTGGTGAGACGCGCCTTTGCTGTGAGGTGGGTGCATGGATGCATGATCACACAAACAAGCGGTGTTTGGGGCCAGCGTTCAGAATTTATTGCGGCGTGGTACTCAGTAAGTTAGGCTTTGAGAGAGGGCAAGTAGCATATCAGCGTATCAAAATGCGACATCATCCCTGTAGAGGCTGGTGTGCACACGCCGCAGCGTTTGAAAAGCGAGTGGCAGCCAAACCATCCTGGCCGCCCAGGACACGCCATGTGGCCCTGCGTTTGCATTTTAAAAAAGTAATTTTTCCTCCTCACAACGACACTACACAAGTAAATGTCTTCGAAGCGCGCCGGGGTCCAACAGTCGGGACATCGTTTGACGGTCCTGAGGCGACTTATGCGCGAGAATTTTGGGTGAGACTGATCTCATTCCCCCATAAAATTGTGATTTATCCGGGGGTGCGCGCCAAGCCCATCTAGTCACCCGATCATTGTACCTTTTCGACCTGCAATTCCCGCCCAGCGCCACGTCGGAGTCCCGATCAGAGCCATGATGTTTTTGTGAATGAACCTTAATGTTTCACAACCATCTGGAGCTGGAGTCTGGCTCAGACCTCTCCCAGCTGTCCGGAATCATCAGGCGAGGGCGCCCCTCGCTCGCCGGGTGCCCACGCCTGCTTGCAGGATCTGGTCTGCCGCATTGTCAGGTGCGTGAATCTCGGCCTGCGTGAACGCTGGGGTATGGCCAGAGTCGTCTGCTTGAAGCCCCAACTGTCCTTACAACACTGCTGTGGCATGGGATCGGCTCCAGACGGCCAGGAGCGATGCTTATATGCTTGCTCTGTGCTGTGAAGTACGCACAAAGTCGGCCCATGAATTCGGTGCCAACAGTGTTCGCAATTTGTCCGGGCCCCCCGACCACTGTACCCAACAATGGTGGTACACATCCCGCAGAGACGGTGCAGAGCGCTCCATCCAGGGCTGAGGCGTAGCATGAGGGCCGCGCCCGTGACCCTCCTGCTGGCGGCCTGCCTGGCGCTTGGGGTTGGGGTGGCGAATGCCGACACAGACGCCAGGTGCGCACACCAGTGACGCAGCAGGCCCCGGGCCAATGATTGGCAGCTCATTGACGGTGCTTGGGAGCGGTCAGGATCGCAGTGTGGGCCCCCACGCCCTGGAACACACGCAACCCCAGCTGGAGCGCTGTCCCGTGACGCGGCAGTTGGTCAGATTGGCACGACCTGGCATGTGCGGCCGCCCCACCGTATAGCAGCATGCGAACTGATGAATCTCATGTCTTCAGCATTCCAGAGCTCGCGCTCGCCAGCTGCCCACCTTGCTGGAAAGCCCTTCGCGTCCGCTCACGGCTGTGATGTGCACTCCACCCGGACTGCCGCAGGCTTGAGCTGGAGCCTGTCATCGAGATCAGCTCTGCGGCCGGCCGGACCCTTCTACAGGATGGCAGCAGCCCTGGCGGCTACGGTTACGGCTACGGCTACGGCGGCCGCCGCCGCCTGACCCAAGCAAGCGGCGGCGAGGGCGCTGCCGGCGGCTACGGCTACGGCTACGGCTACGGCTATGGCGGCCGCCGGCGCCTGGCGCAGGCGGCGGGGGACAGCAGCGCGGGCGGTTACGGTTATGGCGTGTCTGGTCACCAGGGCAGGCTTCATGGTGACGACAGCGCCACCAGCAGCTACGGCTACGGCGGCAGGCGGCTGTCTGAGGTGCAATTAGAGCCCCAGTTCCAGGTTGAGCCAGGACTCGAGGACCAGCCAGCCGACGCGGCGGCCGCACCGCAGTCGCATTCCCAGTTGCAAGAGCAGGAGCTGCGAGAGCAGCTTGTGATGATGGGGCAGCAGGAGCAGCAGCCCGCCTTCGCAGGCAGCAAGGGCGAGCAGCCCGCCGCCGCCGCCGCCGCAGCTGCCGGCCTGCGCAGCGTCCGCGCTGCTGCCGCGGCGGTCGGCAAGCTGTCCGTGCCACCCGGCCAGTGCTATTGCCGCTATGATCATGACTACAACACCTGGGCGCTGGCCGAGGAGCCCTGCAGGGCGGCGCTGGCCGCCAAGTGCGGCGCTGGGCAGCTGCCCTGCAGCTGGCTGGAGGCTTACTACACCGTCAGGGGCGGCGGCGGCATGGCGCACACCCTGCCTCACGAGCAGGACATCCTCGGCTTTGTGTTCGACGACTGCCAGCCGCACCCGCCTTGCGCCTGCGCAGGGGTCAAGTTTGACGGCAAGGACCCAGGTGGGTGGCTGGGGCCTGCGGTGGGTGCTTGCACCAGAGGCATGGCCCGGCGCCCATGCGGGCCCGGATAGTTGGAGCCAGGCGGTTGGGATACTGAGTGGCGGGCAGAACATGATGCGCGTTGGCGGTTGGCCTATCGCAGCCAGGCTCACAGCATCACAGGCCAGCTGTGGTCGGGCGGGGCTGGTTGAGCGGTACAGGCCCCGCGCCTCCACCGCCACCAATCCATGCACCTCTTTGCCGTCCTCTGCCCTTCCTGACACGCCCCCGCCTCCCCTCCCTGCCCTCAACTGCTCCGCGCAGTCGCCGACACCTATGCCTGCTGCCGCGACCTCCACGCCGCGTGCCGCACTCCCTTCGACGGCCTGTCGTGCAGCGATGTGGACGCATTCTGCAAGGACGACGCCCCCAGCCCCAAGCTTGCGCACTGGGCGGCCAACAAGCTGCACCGCGGCGCTGAGTGCGCCGAGTACAAGGGGACCCCCTACGATTTCGTGCCGTTTGGTTCTGCCATGACCAGCAAGCACGAGGAGCCGCCGCGCGGCGCAGGCGCCGCCGCTGAGGAGAGCGGCGCCGGCGACGGCGCCGTTGCAGCGGGGCTGGCGCTCAGGGCTGCCGCGTCTGAGGGCGGAGCTGCGGACGCCAGCTTTGGGCCGGGGCGCGTCGCGGCCGCTGTGGCATGCCTGGGCGGCCTGCTGGTGGGGGTCGCCATCCTGGGCATGATTGCCACCCTCACACACAGCGGCGGCGGCGGCGGGGCAGGCGCTGCGTATGGGCC